GCGGCTTAAACTCACACAGGGTGTGTGTGCGTGTGTGCCCAAGATCCTGAGAGGAGAATGGAGGAGAAGGGATTGCGGCATGGCCATCCCCCCTGGGGGGTGATTTCTCGCTTTCTGTTTCTCTGTCTCTCTGGCAAGCGCATGCGCCCTATAGCAAAAACCTCTCAAAAAAGCAAACAAACAAAAACAAAACAAAACAAAAAACCAAAAACAACAACCCTGGCACCAGCAGATTGGCATAATGGTTATATTGTGGATTCCCATGTAGTTGACAGTGGTTTGAGACCCAGATCCAGCGGGTGAAAACTCACACCTGGTGCGTGTGTGTGCGTGTGTACCCAAGATCCAGAGAGGAGAATGGAAGAGGAGGAGAAGGGATTGTGGCGTGGCCTTCCCCCCCCAGGTGGGGTGACTTCTTGCTCTCTGTCTCTCTATTTCTGGCAAGCACATGCACGCTATAGCAAAAATCTCTCTAAAAAATTTAAATAAATAAATAAGTGGCCAGTCAGCTGAGGCCAGCAGGTATTGTGATGGTTAAGGGGCTGGATTCCCAAATGGCCAACCATGGATCAAGTCCCAGACCTGGCAGCTTGAAAATCACAACAAACAAATAGATAAACACGTGTTTAAAAATAAATTAAAAAATAAAAATTAGGCCAGTCGGTGGCACAGTGGTTAAGGTGGCTGGGTCCCACATACCAACTTCACAGTTCAAGTGCTAGACCCTGTGGCTAGAAAAACACACAGAACACGTGTGCATGCATGCCCCATATTCCCAAAGAAAAATGGAGCAGAGGATACTGTGGCACAGCCGTCCTCCATGGGTGGAAATGCTTTCTTACTTTCTCCCTCCCTCTCTTCTCTATGAATGTTCATGTTCTCTTTAAACAGAAAACCAGCCAAACAAAAACTAACAATTTTAAGCTGTGCTCACAGGACACTCACAGAAACCCAGTCACCAAACTGCCTCCCGAGGTCCTGCTCAGGGCTGAAATCCAGGTTTCGGGAAGCACACTGACAAACTAGAGGCAACCACAAGGGTCAAAGCAGCACCAAAATACGCTTGTCCTTGAATTCTATTCTTCTATCAACTTTCCGAAGTCCCCTTGTATGAGTCACTGACGTGTATAAGGGGGAGATTTATCTTAGGTGGCTCCGGAGGGGGGGAATTAGGACCAGTGTGTGGGAGATAGAGTTCAGATGCACATAAAGAACTCTTTCCATCTAGGAGGGGTATGTACAAATGGACTGGCTCTCTCACGAAGTATTTACACCGAGACTAGACAAATGTCTGCTGGGGATGCCAGCAAGAGGGCTTCTGCACGAGGTGGGAGAATGAGTCAAGTTCAGACTCAAGTGCCTTGCAGCTCTCAGACCAAGCGCGCGCTCACCTGGCAGAGGGCAATGTTCTCGTAAGGCTTCGCCCGGGCGTGTAAGTGAGCCTTAGCTTCTCGCTTATCACCGTGCACAAGCAGGATTGGTTTCTTCCTGAAAAGACGTCAGATGTAGTTAAAACCCACCGTGTGCGAAGCCGGACTCTTGCCTGGTTCAGGAATGCTAGCTGACTTCCCGCCTGACACCTGCTCTGCCTAGCACGCTGACTGACACAGTGCTAACAAGATCGGCTCACGTTCCCTCCGTCACGTTTATGTGGGGTCACATGGGTCTACAGTTCTATGGGGACCGAGAGGGGTTGTGACTCGAGTCCTTGAGTAATTTCCTTTGGTCCAAAAGGGACACATGGGCAGCCCTGTGTTAATAGATTCCAGTGCGAATAAAGTAACAATATACAATTACTATTGTATAGTGTCATGCTATTTTCTTTCCCTTCTTTTAGACCGAATAATGAATTACTTCCACACTGTACTTGTGGTCACCAAATTCCTACTGTGTGCTATGCTCTGCCCTAGACTCAGGTTACAGCAGTGAACAGGCCCACGACACGACTTAGGCTTGTAAATGGAAGTTATCAAGGTATGTTGAAAATGCTACATGGGCTGAGAGAATCCTTAATCCAAAAATCCAAAATCTGAGATGCTCCAAAATCCAAAACGTTATTGAACGCCGATATGTTGCCTCAATTGAAAAATTCCACACCTGCCTTGTGTGACACCTCACAATCAAAACACTGTCATATAAAAATATTACGCAATTATCATAAATGAATTCTGTGTTAATACTTGGGTCCTATCCTCAAGAGAGATTATGCATATGCAAACATTCCAAAATCCAAAATCTGGTTCTAAGCATTACGGATAAGGGTGACTGAACCTGTAATTTAGAATTACAACGACCATACAAAAGCACTCCTCAGGAATAGATTTCAAAAGCTTTTAAAGCATCATTGATCTTTTCTGACGAAGGCAGAATAATTCTCTACCGCACGCAAAGGGACAACACCAAACTAGAAGGAAATCTGACAGAAAATGCACTCCTAGTATGAATGTCCAACTACCCTGTGTTCAAAAGCTTTATTCTAACTTGACAGGTAAAATAAAACTATGGAACATGCATTTCTAAGTTTTATTTCCTATTTGGAAAAAATTGTACAAGGAAGTAACCTAAGTGGCCAGTCTGGAGCATGGTGGCTGAGGCATCTGGGTCCCATGTGGCCAACTGTGTCATCTGAGTCCTGGACCCAGAGGCTTGAAAAACTCGGAGTGCGTGTGTGCGTGCACGTGTGTGCCGAAAATCCCAAGAGGGAAGAATAAGGTAAAAATGATTATAGCTTGTCCATTCCCCATGGAGGGTGCTTTCTCCTTTTCCCACGGTCTTTCTCCAGTGAATGCCCATGGCCTCTGGCAAATTTTAAAAGAAAATAATGTAAGAAATATTGATGCACCTGTCTTTAAAAAGTAAGAGATTGGGCCAGCACGTGGTGTGGTGGTTGAGGAGCCAGACTCCCACATGGCTGACCACAGTTCGAGTTCCACATCTAGAGGCTTAAAACTCATGCCAGGCCTGAGTGCCCAAAATCCCAAGAGGAGAACGGAGAAGGGACTACAGTGTGGCCATGCTCCCTGCACGGTGATTTCTTGCTTTCTGTCTCTCTGTCTCTGGAGTGAGCACACGTGCCCAAAAATCTCTCTCAGAAAAGCAAGAGATTAAACAATCTTGACAGTTGAAGTCCTCATTAACCCCCTCCCAGTTATCGGCTGTATGAATTATTAGAAGAAGGCAGCCGCTAGGCCTCGTGAAGTACGGACCTCTATGATCTCAATGTTTTTATACAGCCACTCCTCACTAAATGACCTACGTGTTTAAAGACCACCAGACTTAAAGTCGTTTCTGTGGAGTCAGGACTCCCCTTTCTGGGTCTGGGTCTTGGGAATCCCATGTTTCAGTCTTTGTCTTGGTCCTGCGGTCGGTTAGCATTCACCTGCACTCATACATGTTTGATTTACAAATGTGGACTTCATCGTGCAGCCATAGTCCTATTCAGAATAACTAAAAGCGATTGTGCCAAGTCTGTATTATAGTGGGGTGTCTCGTCACTCTCTGGCACTGACCTAATGTACCCATTCTGCAGGGATGGAATTAACACTACTCTGTGTGCCACCAGAGGGTGTCTATTGCAAGACACACATTCTGTCACACCATGACAAACCACAAGACATCTGCCTTTAGGCCCCTCACTTATGGACCACTTCGCTTAATGACCTCGTCACAGGAACAGAACTTGGTCGCTAAGTGAGGAGGCCCTGTATACAAATTCTGGTTGTTTTCCCCCAAGAAGTGGCAACAGGGGATAGAGGCAGAGGGAGGACTCCTCTGTCCCTTGACTTCAATGACTAAGAGTCCAGTGGATACCGTATTCATCTGCCAGGACCGCCGTAACAAAGCACCACAACCAGGGGGCTTAACCATCAGAAAGGCACTGCCTCACAGTTCTGAGGCCGAAGTCCCGAACAAGGTGTCAGCGGGGGTGGTTCCGAGGACTGTGAGCAAGAATCAGTTTCAGGCCTCTCTCAGCTTTTGGTCGCCTCAGGTGTTCCTTGTCACGTGGCATTCTCTGCATGTCTCCATAGCCTTCCGTGTCTCTGTGCCCACATATCCCTTCCCACGAGGACAGTAGTCATTCCACATTGTCACCCAGCCTTACGACCTCCATTAACTTGATAACTTTTGTAAAGACCCCAGTGCCGGGTAAGATCGCATTCTGAGGCACTGGGGCTTAGGACTCCAACACGTCTGTATCGAGACGTGTCGATTCAATCCGTAACAGACACTGAAGGAACAGTGGTCTACACTCGCCAACATTCTCAAGGGGTGACAACTGATTTCAAGTCCTCTGAGGAGCAGAGAGGGCAAGAACTGAGAGTACCAGGGCAACACCCACGCTAGTTACTGCCAGGAGGAGCCGGTGGCAGCGACAGCTCGTTGTCTGGTATGCATTCTTCTTTCCTTCTTCTCTAACAAAACCCTGATTTTATTCAGGATAAGATGTGCCAGCTGAAAGTGTGTGTTTCCAGCCTCTTTTTAGAACTGTTACCACCATGTGAGACTGGACTCTGCTCAATGAAACACAATCAGGTGCTGTGTGGGACTTCCAGAAAGGCTGCTGTAGAGGAGCACAGCTGAGATGCAGGCCTTTGTATCCTCCTCCACTTTTCCTCTGTCCCGTTATCTGGAACACAGATGAGTGAGCTGGAGCACCAGCTGCCCTCCTGGACCACGAGGTACCTCTGCTGTCATACACCAGGATGGTGCAACAGAAAGACAAAAGAACCTTGGGGCCCCAAGGCAGACCAAAAATGTCTATCATCCGAACTCTTTGGCTGCACATATTAATTTCTGCCTTGTTTAAGCCAGTTACTTTGGGGTTTTTGTTAAATGCAGCTAACACTAATCCCCAAGTTATGCATCAAATATAAGCCCTTACGTGCCAAAGCCACTTGGGAAACTTCAACAGCATTTTCTCTACTGTTAATGACAAAGGTTTTCATAATCTGGTCCTAAATGCACCAAGGATTTGGAGGACCCTGACAATCATTTTTCTTGCACATGTATTTGTCTATCCTTCTTGCTATTACAGGGCTTTGCCACATACAATGTTAGAAACGGGGTGACTGGCATGTCACAGTGCGTGGTGCTGTTTTTAATTTAGTCTGTATTTCCTAACACGAGGCAGAAGACAGAACTGAAGACCCATCACCTCCGCTATGACCCTCCACAGTTCCTAAACTACAGGGAAAGTCATTTGAGAAACACAAACAGATCCTCAAAACACTACGACACAGCACAGCAGCACGGGTGGACTAAGTAAAGTGGGGCATCCTGTCCACAGGTTGGCATGCTTACGGGCCTAGAAAACACGTGGAGATGAGCTTTTCCCCCATATTAATTTGCACATAAATTTCTGTTACATGAGTTGAAATTTGTCCTTATCTTTTTCTGGACAGAGCACAGAGGAAAATGCTAAAAATCTGTAAAAAGAATACATGTCAATAAGTAGATCAGAAAATGCTTTTTTTTAAAAAAATTGAATGACTGTATAATGTCAATGGTTTTTTTTAAAAAAAAAGTATTTAAAAAGATGGTCACCAGCAGGTGACATAGTGGTTAAGGCACTAGACTCCCACGTGGTCAACCACGGTTCGAGTCCTGGACCCAGCAGTTTGAAACTCACATTGTGTGTGTGTGTGTGTGTGTGTGTGTGCGCCCAAAGTCCCAAGAGAACAGAAGAGAAAGGATTGTGGCATGGCCATCCTCTTGGGGGGGTGATTTCCTGCTTCCTGTTTTTCTCGCTTTCTGTTTCTCTCACTGGTGGGCGCATGCACCCTATAATAAAAATCTCTCTTTCCCCCAAAATAAAAAGATGGTCTGCCCTTGCCTGAGAAATACAAATCTTGTGTTTCAAAGCCTCATTACCGTTTATGTCATCCTGGGGAACTCACCTGAATTCGGGTGGATACTGTTTTACGAGCCAGTCCACGTCAAAGCAGTAGTTAAACTAGATGGGAGAAAACAAAAGTAACTAAGCAGTCCACAAGGACAATAGTTCAGTAATTTTTCTCCATATATTTTTTTAGGTTCCTGTCATGATGTGTGTATGCTTGCCAGAGAGAGTGGGAAAGTGAGAAATCACCCTCCGGGGTGACGGACACGCAGTAATCCTTCTCTATTCTCCTCTCTCAGGATGTCGGGCAGCACATACACGTGTCTGGTGAGATTTTCAAGCCACCAGGCCCGGGACTCCCACGGCACTTGGCCATGTGGGAATCCAGAGCCCTAATCACCAACCTCGCCTGCTGGCCCTCAGTTCATTTGTTAAACTGAAAGAAACCTGAAAATAATGATATGCTATACATATTTATAAACCTGGAACAGTTATGCTGTAATACTCACAAATAAACCTAAAACTTATCTTGAAAGGAAAACATTAAAGGAATCTGAACAAATGGAGCCAAATGCACGTACAAATAGCTTCTAGAAAATGATCTCTGCACACTTTGGCAGCATTTGTACTTGTCAGTAGAGTGTTACACGTCGTGTCTAACAGCCTGAGATTAATTTACATAAAAGGGCTTATAAATTGATCCCTTTTCCCCAAGGTGATTATAAAAAGACAGACACCCGAGATGAAGATCCCAGGATTTTTAGAAAAGAACATTTCCTTTCAGGCCCTCTTATTAGCAAGCTTTGTACACAGGCAGCTGGGACTGGACACTCACCAGGCTTGGAACAATTAGATCTTGAACATACACTCTGTGGTGGTATTCTTCATGGGCCCCTACCCCCTCGTCTGGGTAATCCGGGCCACAGGAACTCAATATAGCTGAAGAACACCACAAACACACCCCACCTTCCATGTGCAGACCAGGACTCTGGGACAAGCCAAACATGAAAGCCACAGACAGCTTTCCTCAGGGAGGTGGCTCTTTCGTCTGTTTACTTGACAGGCTGCGCATTAGCATAGTCTGCCAACACAGAGATGCCAGCGTGTCCGGCGGGAACTTACGAACATACGAAAGTACCTTAAATTCTTGTTCTTTTTTATTGGATCATCAGAAAAGTCATGACATATTATTGCAAAGAAAAATAGGTCATGACTAAAACATGTCATGACTTTTCCGATGATCCCTAGTATAGAATTTTCTATTTTTCTAAATGAAACTTGACATGGCCATCACTACTCTCCCCATAGTGCCTCAGGAGGGCTGCACCAGAGTCCCATGAGATTATGTGTCCCACAGAGTAAGTCTTTTAGGCAGCAATGTCCCAAAGGGACTTCTCGGTCAGTCCCCATGGCTTGTCCAACAATCAGAGGCTCTACCGACAGTGGCATCCATGTTCTATGTCAATGGCTACAAATCCCACCACTGGGCGCCTGGTGCCAGACACCAGGTATGTGCCATCCTGGGGACCACGGACGGACTGAGGCACAGGGCCCCACCTCTCATATTTCCTATTTCCTAACGGAATTGTTTCTGTTCCCTTGCCTGAAGAAAAACACAACTTAATCATAAACTCACCTGAGCTGAAGAAACAAGCGTTCCAAATAGAGGAGATAAAATATCTGAGAAGATAAAACACACGCATAAAAACCTGCACTCAGATAAAATCACCCAGATATAGCGACTGCAGTTAATTTATTCAACACAATCAAGATTCGGGTCAGAAAACAGAACACGGAAGTTACTACAAAGCTAGACTTTAACATTTCAAAAGTTAAAACAGGGCCAGCAGGTGGCATGGTCGTTAAGGCACTGGACTCCCACATGGCTGCCCATGGTTCGAGTCCCAGACCTGGCAGCTGGTTTTCTTACTTCCTCTCTGGTGAGCATGTGTGCCCTGTAGCAAAATAAATAATAATGATAAACGTTCATTTTTACCTCTTTCAAGTACTCATTTAAGTCCTTCTCCAGGAGCCCTCCCAACCCAGCTCTAACAAGACCACTGTCCCCTGGGCCTGAGAGCATGTGCCTCCTGTGAGTGGAAGGAGCAGACTACCATGCTGCCCTCAGGTGCGGGGTCTTCTCCAGCATCTGTCAGAGGCCCCACTTGCACCCACTTGAGCGTGACTTCAGATGGGCTGGAGTGCACGTCTCAGAAACTACAAGAACACGAGCATCGGTTTTAACAGCTGCCACCATACAGGACCTGTTAAGTGCCAATCACTGTTCTCATCACATCATGTCAGTCATCCTCTGAGGGAGGGTCTGTTATTCCTGTTTTATACATGAAGAAAGTCCCCTCAGGACAGTGCCCAGGGCCCCCCAGCTAGGAAGGGTTTGAACACAGGCTGTCTGGCTCCTGCATGTCTGCTCTCACCTATCAACCCGCCTGAGGGTCAAGTGTGGGCTCATTCATTTACCACAGGCATGCACCAGTGTGTCCTGTGTTGGAGACACTGAGCCGGACGTTTAAGTACAAAGATATTAAAAGAACAATAAAACTACTCTTAAAGAAGTTTCTCTCTTCGGGCCAGCAGATGGCAAAGTGGTTAATGTGCCAGACTCCCACATGGCCAACCGTGGTTTGAGTCCCAGACCTGGCGGCTTTAAAATCATTCTGGGCACGTGTGTGTTGTGTGCCCAAAATCCCGAGAGAAGGTGGGATTGCAGCATGGCCATCACCTCCCAGGTGGTGATTTCTCATTTTCCCCATCTCTGTTTCCAGTGAGGGCACATGACCTACGGCAAAAACTCTTCAAAAAAAAAAAAAAAGTCCTCCCTTATTGACAAAGCTGTACAATTAAGAGATACATTGCAATACATTCTTCCATTTTGCCCTCAACAATCTCTCTTTCTACCTTTTAAAACTGTATCCATTTCTCAGGGGCCAACTGAAGCCTCTTTCCTCCAGGAAATCTAAATGATCTATAATCATGGCATGTGTTAAGAATGATGTTACCAAGCAGCGCAAATTCAGAAGCCGGGATGCCTGGATTCAAATTCCAGCTCTGCCATTTGCCTGCCCTGTGACCTCAGACAACCTTATGAACTGCAGATCCCTCACCTCTCCAAGGAGGACAGGGCAGCATCAGCTCACACGGCTGCTGTGAGGGTTAAAGACAACGAGAGATGAAAAAGCTCCTCTTACAATGTCACCTCCGTATCCTGGTGCTAACAGCCACTCTGTCATTTTATTATATACAGAACTCTGCATGGTTCTCCATGTCCTGTGTCATCTCTCTCAGACGAAAAAAAAAAAAACACGGACAACTGCAAACAACCTATAGAACCAGTCTCTACAGCATGAAATTAAATACACTAATTTTACACATCTATACACAGAATACACACAATTATGTATATGGAATATGAAAAGTGATGGCAGCTGGGGGCCAGCAGGTGGCGTAGCGGTTAAAGCACTGCACTGCCATATGGCTGACTATGGTTTGAGTCCTGGACCTGGCTTGCAACTCAAGCTGGGCGCAAGTGAGTGTGTGAGCCCCAAATCTCAGGAGGATGGAGAAGGGACTGCAATGTGAACATTCCCCCTGCAGGGGGTGGTGATTTCTTGCTTTCTGTCTCTGTTGAGTACATGCGCCCTATAGCAATCTCTATTTTAAAAAAGTGATGACAGCAAACAATCTATTCTTGGTAAGAGCCAGAAAACAAATTAATCTCAAATATGGTAATAATGCTTACTGTGTGTATTCACATATTTGCTCCCATTTGTCTGAATCCCCAGTTTAACCGCGAGTAAAGCTGAAATGTGGAGAGCGTCAGGCCAGTGTTAACTGTGCAGTAAGAGCAGTAAGGCTGCAAATCTTGTCTTTGATGTCAGAGCTCCTGCTGTTCCCCCTGCAGGTGCTCCCCAGGGAATGAAGAGCCGAACAAAGACCAGCTTGTGATTCATAACGGAAACATCTATTTGCACTAGGGTACTCATTTTTGCTTCTCTCCAGAAAGCAAAACCAGGCTTTCCAACAGTGGTTGTCCACTTTGACGGGGCACTAGAATTATCTGAAGAGCTTGTTAAGTCAGAGCGCGGGGCGGCCACAGCAGCATGGCAGTAAGGCAAGGCTCTGATACCACCGTCACGCGGAAAGGCCCAGGTTTGCAGGTAGGCCCCTGTGTGCGCCTGGCATGTGCCATGCATGTGCTCGTGACATAGGCTGAGGCTGGGGCTGGGATCACGGCATGGCCATCCTGTTAGCGCTGTTTCTGTGCAGACAGCAGGCCCACAAACATGGGGACTGTCCCTAAAACCCGCTGGACTTTCTATACAAAGTGTGGTAAGCACCAACCTCATAAAGTGACACAGCACGCAAAGGGCAAGGGCTCTCCGTGTGCTCAGGGAAAGCGGCGTTCTGACAGGGAGTGGAGTGGCTGTGGTGGACAGACCAAGCCTATGTTCCAGAAAAAGGCAAAGACTACAAAGGAGATTGTGCTAGGCTTGAATGTGCTGAGCCCAACTGCAGATCTAAGAGAACGCTGGCTAATAAGAGATGTGAGCATTTTGAACTGGGAGGAGATAAGAAGAGAAAGGATCAAGTGATCCAGTTCTAAGCTCCATCTTTTTTTTTGGAGAGATTTTCGCTACAGGGCGCGTGCGCTCGCCAGACAGAGAGAGACATAGAGACAGAAAGCGAGAAATCACCTCCACCAGGGGAGATGGTCACGCCGCAATCCCTTCTCCTCCATTCTCCTCTCGGGATCTTGGGCACGCACGCACACGCGCCTGGCGTGAGTTGTAAGCCACCGGGTCCGGGACGCGAACCGCAGTTGACTACGTGGGAGTCCAGCGACATAGCCATTACGCTAACTGCTGGTTCCCCTAAGCCCCATCTTTAAGATGACAAAATCTTGAGGTGAACAATTACCTCATTTGATTACTGTTGATCTTTTTGTAAGGGAATAAAGTAATCAATCAAATTCCCATTGTGGAGAAATTTCATTCATGGGGAGGGGGGTGGAATCCTGTTAGAGATGCCCACCTGTCTCTGTCACTTTATCTCGTGAAGACAATTTTAAAAAATGAGGTTTATTCAATTGGTCAGGGGTGGAGACTGAGGAATCTGCATTTTAAAAGTTTGTTTATGCCTTTCACAAGACAGACAGAGAGACAAGCATCCCCGGGAGCGCTGCATGCTGTGCTCCGCCCCACCACCTCCTCAGCCAGCCAAGGTCAACAGGGAACCGAACTCCTGATCTTCCACATGAATTCAGCACACTTGAGCACCATGTTATCACGCACCACCTGGCAGCTGGGAATTCCCGTACAAGTTCCAGGAGGTGCTGATGCTGCTGGCCCAGGACCGTGGAGAACCACTGTATGAAGCATTTGCTCCTTTGTTGTTACGGCATTATTGATCAAGTTGAATCTTTAAAAGTTAAACAGTTCTAAACACTGTGCTAAGTGTTACGAGGAGCTGTTACAAGGTGTTGGGAAACACTATGATTGCCTTACCTAAGTAGTTAGCTGTCAAACTAATGCACTTGCTGGTCAAAAATACATTTATTTATTTATATATAGGTTTTTCTTCTTTTTTCTTTTTTTTTTTTTTTTTCTAAGGAGCCAGACAAACTGAGGGACAGTGAGAAATCACCTGACAAGGGGGTGGTTGCATTGCAATCCCCTCTCCTCTAGTCTCCTCTCCGGGTTTTGGATATGCACACTCACACCTGGTGTGTTTCAAGCTGCCAGGTCTGGGACTCG